CATGTATGACAAATCAAAACTATTTTATTCATAATTTTAAAATAAAATAAAGACTTAGTTATGTAGAAAAAAATATGAATCCTATGATAATAAAGCTTATACCTTCTTCTAAGTGCTATATCCAAATACTAAAAGTTATATATATTTAAGAATAATTCAACCTTAAATTTGTCTTTATATTGGGTCATAATTATTTATGTGAAATATGCATATCAATGCTTTCCGCATTGTTCCGCTTTTATGAACATAAGACTTTCCCTCACGCGTTTGACGTCACTGTCACGTGTTATAGGGATTAACTTTTCCCCTCGATATGTTATATATTTTTAAGCGATTATGTCATCAGCATTTAAACATATTCTATTGAGTCTTTACTTTCATAAATTACAATCAAAAGACGCCCATAAGCTACATCTCATTTATATCTATTGAAAATTGAAACATTTCAGATTTAAGACAAAATTATATTTATAAAATTTGTTCTCAAAAGAATAGAAGAATTATAAAATTAATATTCAGTTCTATAAAAAATATTGTAAAGATGAAAGAAATAATGTCAAACAGAATTTAATCATTTAAAAAAACATAAAAAAAACAACAACAAAAAAGAAACAACAACAAAAACAACAACAAAAACAACAATAAAACAACAACAAAACAACAATAATCCTACACTAAAAAGAAAACAAAACACAAAATATTTGATTCACTTTATTTATATCTATGCATTATTTAATTGGTTGATTAAAGTTAAGAACACCTACTTCTTCCGCTCAATAACATGATATGTAATAATTTATGCCCTCACAATATTTTAATTAACATTTGGCCAACATGCAATGTTTAACTGTCACATTTATGTCTGCTACAATTAATTTTGATACTTACAACATGTAAATTACTCACCACTGAAGTCGCATCTTAAAACGACGTAATACGCTTTAGCCTTCAACTGTTGTCTTTTTGTTTTAAAAAAATACAATATTACACCTGTAAATACAATATATAGTCAAATGAAACATGTCTTTTTTTAAATTAACAATTTTGCTTTTATTTTTTATCTATAAAAATATACAAAAGCTATACGAGACATCTCGAATATGGTAATTAAATGTTTTGTTGTTTTTTCTTCTTAAAAACAACAACAACAAAAAAAACACTATTAAATGCTGTTTAATAAACTCGCTCGTGTCATATTTATTCAATATTCAATTTTTCTTGCATGTGTCCCGAATAAGAAACTGTATTTGTTAGACATATATGAGGATAATATAATGGCGTTATGTATGTATTAATCAGATTAGTAGCTAGACTTTCATTTAATCTTTGCCCATTTTATGTGAGGAGTCAATGGTACATATGAATAATAAATTGCAATGATAATGTGAATATTTGTAACGTAAAGACACTCGCGGCGTTCTATTACCTGCTGTATTTTTTTTATTTTATCAAAGAATGTGTAGAATAGTGATGTTTTATGAAGACTTTTATCACTTTTAACAAATATAAACGGTTGCTCGCAATTCAACATTCAAGCTAGCAAATGCCACATTATTTGATGCATGATAACCTTTTGTCAATTCTTTAATTCTAAATACAAAACAGCATACCAACAGATAACATAACAGACTTTCAAGAAGACTTTAAATAATTTTGAGCACTTCCAGTAGAAAAACAATAGCCTGGTGGGTATTATCTTGGTATGATTATAGTACGCTGTGAGTAAGGATATCATATTAAGATAAACTAAAGAACAGTGAGTATTCTGTTTTAACTTAACCATTGTCCTACTGGTGCTTTCAGATCGAATTTTGTCTTGAAAAACTGTTTTTTATTAGTTATAAGTGTGCTAGTACCACTTTAATTTTCACTTAATAGTTTCCGTTTCAATTTACACCATTCACCCCAAAGAAAAAGAAACATTCATTTATAGCATCAGAAATAAAGAACGTTACCATCCGTAATTTATTTGAAACAAAAATAACATTTTCCTAAACATTGATTAAACAACGTAATGAGAGGATGTAACATGTTTTTGGTTAGATCTTGCTTTCGAGATATTGCCCGTGTACAAATTAACACAACACGTCTATTATTAATTGGACTACCCTAAATTTCCCCCATGTTCCAAGACATTATTTGATAAAGGTCTAATTGCGCTTAAATCAATATTTTTACGCATTCAAGTTCATAAATTTCCACAAGAGCAATTATTCCTGATTTGTTGAAGTTATTGTTTCAATGGTAAAATTGCTTAGTTTCAATACGTCGAACACTTTGTATATTAAATTGAGCTGAAAAATTGTCTCATTTAGGCACATTTTGCCTCAGAAGAGAATAATTTATTTCTTTTTTAGAAATGGCAAATATGAATTTTTGTAACGTATAAAGAATGGTTTAAGAACATTTTGATGCTTGTAACTTGAAGAAAGTAGCGATAAACGTGAAATAATTTGTCATAAAAGTGTCAAAATGTAAACAAAGTAGCATTTTGACTTCCATACAAAATACTAATTCTTTATAACAGTACTAATTTCCAAAAATAACAGAAGCAAAAGCAAAAGTTGCTTCATGTAACTAGCCAATGAGTAACTTTCTCGAAACTATACAAAAAATCCCCAAATAATATAAGCTTCTGAGAAATAAAAATAAAACATTTAAAAATCAAATATTCCGGATCGTTATTTATGCAGTTTTTTTAAGTATGTATTTTCGTGATTAGTATAAAGCCACATCTAGATATTGTTTTTTGTTTTTTTTATTATTATTTATTTATTTATTTTGCATCGTCAATTTCAAGACAATTCAGGTTAAATTTTGAAGATTGCTTATAGATTTTAACCGGTGCTGGAAACGTTGAACACGTCGATTTCTTTTTTAAGAACAGATATTCAACATTAGTAAGATCAGATTTTATTATATATCTTATTGCAAGGAAATAATGAATTCAAAAATTATTTGATAAATTATCTTAAATGTTCATTCAAACCCGATTCTTTAAGTCATTTGGCAGACACGAAGTTTAATTTCCTTAATCCCAAAACCAAATAATGATTTATCACTTCTTTCAAACTGACGACAATAACTTTATTAAAAGTTGATTATAAAATACTGAGTAAAGTAATTGCTTATAGAATAAACTTGTCCTAAATTACTTGATCGATAATAGCCAAATTGAATGTATTAAGTAAGGTCAGATACATTGAATGATATATGATGAAATGGAAAAACTATTTTTCACTGATTTTTTAAAAGCCTTTGATAGTTTTAATAAAAATATGTTCATAAAACACCCGATCTATTTAACGTTGGATCAAATTCTAAAAATACAAATATCCAACAAGCGATATCGGGACTATTAAAAAATTAAAACACGGGGTTCCGGGCAAGGCTGCCTTTTTTTCCGGGCCCAAGGGGTATTCCAAAATTTTGGGTTTCATTTTTATAATTTTTTGGCCGGGTTTTCAAAAGGGTGCAAACCCCTTTATTTTTAAAAATTGTTTTTTGGGGGGCGATGGGTGGGCCCCGGGCCCGGGAAATTTTTTTCGTGACAGTTTTTTTTCAGCAAAACTTATCACAAACCTCTTGACAAATTTTGGTATTTCAGCATCCCAAAACCCTGGGCAATTTTTACCCGTGGGATTAAATTTTAGGTCTTCCTTTATCCATTTCCCCTTTATTTTTTTCCACTTAGTTTAAAATTTTTAACTTAATGGTGAAGGTAAGGAAAATTTTTTATTTAAACAAATTTTTCTCAAAAAACTACGATCGGGGGGCCCTTTTTTATATTTTTGGGTTTTAAAAACATCAAATACGTGGTTTTCCAAAAACGGGGGGGATTCCTTTTTTTAGATCTGACACTTGTCCACTTTCTGTTAACCGACTTAGTTAAATTGTCAACATTAATGGTGAATGGTAGGAAATTTTCGTAACAGTTTTCTCAGCAACTACTTATCACAGTCTCTTGATATTTGGTATACAGCACCAACACATGGTCCCATACTGTGGGATTCGATTTTAGATCTGACGCTCATCCACTGCCTGTTTATCGATTTTGTTAAATTTTAAACATTTATGGAGTATGGTAGGAAATTTTCGTAATAGTTTTCTTAGCAACTACTTATACTGTGGGATTCGATTTCAGTTCTGTCGCTCATCCACTTCCTGTTAATTGACTTAGTTAAATTTTCAACTTAAATGGTCAAAGGAAAGAAATTTCGTAACAGTTTTCTCAGCAACTACTCATCACAGCCTCTTAATATTTGGTATACAGCATTAGCTAGTGGTCTCATACCGTTGGATTCGATTTCAGATTTGTCGCTCATTCTCTTCCTGTTTACGAACTTCGTTAAATTTTCGACATTAATGGTCAATGGTTAAAAAATTTTGTAACCTCACAGCCTCATGATATTTGGTATACAAATGCAACCCGGCCTTTTCTGTCTTTGACCAATTTTTAATTCTATAAAATCGAACTGGATTAAAAGAATAATAAACGATTCAAATAATGAGTTGTGGAAGATATAATTAAAAAACACAAAACATTTAGGTGGAATATTTCTATTTAAATAATTATACAATATAAACACAAAAGATATATTTAACTTTAAACTTAAGAAAAAAATATACATGAAATATTAGTATCTTGAAGTTTAATCAGTTTTAACGAAAACACGAAAAATATATCTGATCAAATAACTTGGCATATATGAACACATATTTGTCACTACTTGAACTCACCTAAAGTGCAATTGAATTAATTTTTTTAACATTCCAACAATTAACACCTGTTTTTATATGCTACATAAAACATTCGCTTTCAACAACACTGACTGTATTTGCCTTATGGGCAATATAAACAGACAAGTAAATAAATAAATAAATGAATAAATAAATAAATATTGAGTGGATAAAAAAAATAAACAGAACAAGTGAGTTTTTGTAATGACAGATTTGCCAAACAGATGACCAAAATAACACTAATAATATTATATCAAATGTTAAACCATCGATTGTTGCCGTTTAAAACCAAATGAAGTTAATAGACCTATTATAGCTGCCAAAAATACTAGACCACCTGAAAGTAGAAGAAGTATATATCATAATTATATGACATCGTCCTGTTAAATTCTGTATGGTCAATATGTTAATATGTTAAATGAAACTAAAACATGTATGTAAATAAAACAATCGTCTTACCTATCTGATATAAATTTTGAGTTGTGAAATAATTAGGGTGATTCTACAGATCTGCTTTATAATAGATTTAAAGCTAACTTTGTAAATTTTACACATGTTTAAAACTGTTATAACATTAATTATTCACTTTTCACTAATATTTTTTTCATAATATATCAGAAGTAGTTATTATACAATTCGAAAGACTCCTAAATAAGGACAATTCAAAAGATGCCTAAATAAGACAACTCAAAAGATGTTTAAATAGGGTCATCTGCTCCAGCTTTTACAAAGAAAAGAAACATTTTCAAAGAAATTTTGCAAATTAAAGGCCCTGATTTTTTTTGGATTTTTTTTGTAAAATGATATTGTTATCATATTGTTAAATAATGCAAAATTAAAATACATTTTGTGAAACAGTTTTGCCTTTTCATTCTCCCTACTGGCATGCGAGCAGTTCCCGTACAGAAGCAGTACCCGTATTTTTCATTTAAACGCTTGATTTTTACTTGCAATCTTCAAAAATTCATTTCAAATCAAGCAGATGCATAAAAGAGATAAAATCTAAGTGTCAGTTCGGCAGTACGTATAAAAGTCTCATTTTAAATCACTTTCACCTGTTGCGTTGTCAAAAAGTGAAACCTTGTTTTTTCTCTGGGGGGATTCCCGTCCTTGCGCGCATGCCCTAAAATACTTACACGTGAGGCCTGTTAAAGGGTTTTCCACTAATACCACCTGTTTACAGATAAGTAGGCAATGTGGTGAAAAACTTGTTTAATTATCAGAATTTTGATCAATATTACTATAATTAAATAATTTTATGGCTTTGATGCGTAAAATATCATGCATACAAGCACGCCATTGCATGAGAAATGCGTTGGGGTAACGGTACCGGGTAATTGATGACCAGCGTTTAGTCTAACGCGCTCTATTTCCTGAAATTACATCTATTTTATCTCTTAGAAAATGGTCTGTTCAACAATTATAATTGAAAAATAGGTCCAATATATCAAAATTGTATAATTATAATGGGTTAAATTTTATGTACGGGAACTACTTCTCTTCATACAAAATAATGGATAATTTCGGTACCCCATATGAGGCCTCATAACTAAGGGTTATTCTATGTTTAGAACATGATAGAATTTCCATGATTTGTGTGACGAGCTGAATAGTGATGTGTAACATTAAAATTTTGGTGAGTGAGCGTAATAAAAAATAATGTTTAAGTAACTACGATTTTTGTACGGGAACTGCTCGCATGCCAGTATATGTCTTTATGAAAAAAAACTGTATCAAACACGTTTGACACAATTGTGATTTGTATTGAAAACTGGCTGTCGTATGGTTATACACTATAAGAGAATTACCTGCAGTGTAGAAGCATATATCGTATGTACCACCATTGTCAAGCACAATACCTAAAATAATAATTGATATATCATACCGGAAACGTATTCCTTATCAATGTAATTTAATCCTGTGTATTAGATTAAATTTCCCCATTACACAATTTCATTAAAATCATATCCTAACTGTCGCTACACTACCTGCGCTGGTTAGCGAAGAGTAAGGGAGCGAACACGATGATCTGATTTTATTGAGATTGCCCCATGATATAACATTAAATTACAGATTTTAGTAAGTTTCTTACACTTGTTTGACAATTGTTAAGACAATAACTTATTGTTATCTTTATTAATATGGCAAATCTTTCAGTTATTCACGTGAATATGGAGTAATAAGAGGTCAAGTACAAGTAGTCTGATCGTATATAACGAAACTATGACCGCTGCTTACAATGATTACTTTCGAAAATTCAAATATATATACAATGTATATAGAAAAAAATAACAACTGCTAAAATAATATGAAACCAACTGAAGTGTTGAAAATTGACTGTACCCTAAAGTTACATTTTAATCGTTAACATTGTATTTTATGCATTTTTGTTCAACAAAAAGCTTATTAAAATTGTCCAATTATTAAAATTGTACAATCCTGTATTTTCGGTTTTGTGAAAATAATTATACTTTTATTTAAGATCCTTGAAATCTCAGATTTAATCAATCATTTACTGAAGAGGAACAAATTCATTTAAAAAGATCAAAGTTAGTAACTTCTTTAATTGAATTAAACAAATCTTTACCTGCAAACATTGGTCCAAACATCGAGCCTGCTCCTCCGAAGAATAATACAAAGCCTATAGCTGCTGATGTAAATTGAATATCCACAAAATAAGAACACATTGGTGAAATCAGTACATAGCCACATCCGAAAAATACTCCAAGAAAAGAACTAAACATAACATGTCCTACAAATAGGTTTGCAATAAATGGATAAATTGCTATTGATATTGCAACTATTGATAAGCTGCCAGAATACAACCATAATAAATTTATCTTCTGAAAACTTGCCAGGCAGCCTGTCAAGAAACGCCCTACCACTGACAAAATTCCATTTAATGAAACTATCAAAGCAGCCTGGGTGGACGTAAAGCCATTTTCTTCAACAAAAGTTGGTAAATTTAAGAAGACAAGATCTGTACCACTACAAAATGCAAACGTTGCCACAGATAGACAAATAATTGATTTCTTCAAAATTGATTTATAGTACATTTTGAATGTCTTAGCAAAAGCAATGCCTCCATTTCTTTTTCCAGATTCTTTCTGTCGCTGCTCATATGCAAATATTTCCAGTTTACTCGGGAAATAAAGAAATCCAAATGTAACTACATTTGCCGACATTGAAGCCATCACAATGAAAAATCCAGTAGATCCATAATGCGCATGTGCAAGATTCATGAGTGGCGCGAAAACAAATATCCCAGCGCCCATACCAGATAAAGTAATTCCCAGTGCAACTTGCTTCCTTTTCTTAAAATTGAAACCGATTGAGACAATACTGGCTGTGTATCCTAACCCTGCAGCAATTCCTGAAAAGTTCATATGAAATTTTTGTTGAAGGCAGATATGAAAGAAACTTCATATGAGGCAGCGTCTCCATTGATTAATAGACATGTATATGTGTAAGCAGAAAAGTCACAAAACATATACCAACACAATAACGAATACCAATGCAAGCTGATAAAATGATGTTATCAGAGCTGTTGCTATTATATAACAATAAAAAGGGTTTTAGAAGAATTTAACCGTGAGAGTATGCAAACTCATTGATGTTGAATTATGAAATAAATTAATTGTCCAAACAAAAACAAAAAATCAGTTTAGGAAATTCAAAATTAAATTAAAAAAACAAACGACAACAATAAATTATAATGCATCAGAATATTACCTGCCGTTATTCCACACGTAAAGATAGCTGCATACATATTTGGAGCAAATGCAGTAGCCCAGTATCCACAGACAAACATTATACCAGACCAAAACAACTGACGTCCGACAACTGTACCTGTCTATCAGCGCCACTTGACAAAGGGAGCTAATGAACGATGAAAAAGATTTAACATTCAGAAGTCAATTTGATAAAATAAGACAAGTTGTAAAAAATGTAATACAATAAAAAAATATATTATTTAATGTTTTTAAAGCCTATATAAGCTGCCTGTAGTTTACAAAATTACTGTTTTGAATTTTGAAAAGAAGAAGAAAACTTCCAAAATACGTCTATAAATTATAAGGAATACCGTACCACGGCCTTACCGACTGAGCTATTCGACCGCTTACAAATTATTTTCCCTAAATACTAAACAGATTTGAACCATTACATAATATTTGGATATTATGAAATTTGTTTTTGAATAATACACAGTTACAGAGCAATGTGAATTAAACTGTAAGCTATATAATTAGTTACGGCCCACGGTTTGCGCCCAATGTCACAGGGTGAGTAAATCTGCAGTCTGACTGGCACTTGAACAAGGGAATTTTATCTCACCTGAAAGACACATCAGAGCTAACTGAAGCGATCCAGACCATGATGTTAGTGCAACACTTTCATTGTATCTTTCCAACAGTATTTTATGAATTATCCCTGTCCCGTAATTATTAGCTCCAATAATACAACATGTACAAAAACTTGAGAAAAGTATAACATATGACCATCCTTTGTCCAAATGTTTAAACTCTTGTTCATTTTCATCATCATCATCATCATTATTATCATCGCGTTTACCAACAGTCGTATTGTTTATGTTGTTGTTGTTGTTGTTAACACTTTTCAATTACATATACAGTTGATTCACCCATTTTAGAAAATAATCTCGAGTAAGTCTGAAAATGAATCAATTATTCAAGTTAATGATCAAAAATGAAATCAAAGTGTTGGCAAAAGAGATTTTCATACGACGCGGTCCGTAGCTATGAAAAATCGACGGAAGTAGTATTTTCTCGTGCGCGTCGCAATCCTCATAGAACAAAAAAAGCATCACCTTATATAAAAATGTAGTAGAAGTTTCATAGACAATTCCGAGTTTGCTTTAAGAAGAAAGTATTAAATTATATAAACTAGCTTTTAACAGAAACACAAAAGATGCCTTCATAGCTTTGTGACCAAGATTGCCCATTAAAAGGCATAGAAATTATATAATTGTTTTTAAGAATTCCTCCTTGCGATTGACATTGAGATAATTGTTGCAAAAATGTTGATAAATTTATATATAAGAAAAAAAAAACTGTTCAAGCTAATTGTTGTTGAAATAGTTAATATAAATACTCAAGAGAAATTTTCTATAACATTAAATCGAAGTCAATTATTATTATGTCACAACACGTGATAATCTATGTTCAAAAATATGTTTTTAATTTTCAGTTTATCTGATTTATTATTTTTCCGATTTGACCGTGATGTCAAACAGAAAATTTGTAAGTCACATATATATGTAATTTTTTTCCAACTATCTGGAGAAGATTGTTTCCTAGATGGGTAGTGAAATAATACACGATATAACCGGTCTCTCGTAACACATGTAATGTAAGTTACTCTGTTTGTCACTTCATAGAACTGGGATTTACCTAGCACAAAAACTAATAAACAAAGGGGCAGGACGTGAAGTGTGTGCATACTTGGCTCAAGCGAGAAATGAACAAAATGGCTACCGAGTCATGTATGTGTACAAAACTGGCACGTATTTTCTACTAACAAAATACGCGCGAGTATTGTGAATGTCCAGTTTGCATTAATTTTTCTCGCTTGAACCAAGTGTGCAACCACTTTACGTCCTGTCCCTTGTTGGAAGTTACTTAAACTACGATTATTATATTTGTAAATGATTCACTATGGTGTACTTTATCGTCCCGGTAGAAATGATATTGCCAAAAAAGGGTCACGTGCCAATCTGTCTGACTCTTACCGCCTTGTCAATCCACAAAATCAAAGAAATGTGCACATTACCAATTGTGTAATATTATGTAATATAGAAGAAATAAAATTTTATCTTTAACACCCTGCCGTATTAATTAAAATTACTGATGAAAAAGTCGTCTAAATATACTTCAAACAGAGGACTTTGATCATTGATTTATTAGTATCGCATATTTTCATATATCTGTTATATCAATTCACTTTTACGTACTTACCGCTTTAAGTAATCCTAAAAGTTACTGTTTCCCGGGTGACATAACTTAAAATCACGTTTGATAAAGCATTTAAGTATGAGAATAGAAAGAGAATTTCTCCCATAATTGCCGCATTTATAACCTCTAATTTAGGAGTTTAGTGCTTTTTTATAATGCCACCAGCAAACATCCGTGTACCTTTACCAGTTATTTATAAAAAAAAATAAACTATACTATACTTCTGGTAACATCAAATTTGTTTATGAAGTTGTTTGAGTACTGATAAAATGTACTTTTTTGTTATTGTCCTAATGCAACAAATGTGAAATGCAACATTAAAAGAAGTCAATCATTACTTAGATTGCTATAGTTATTTATAAAAAATAAATGATGAAGCGAATCCTTAACTTTAACACTTAAGATTTTCCATAAATATTCATCATTATTCCATCATGTATGACAAATCAAAACTATTTTATTCATAATTTTTAAAATAAAATAAAGACTTAGTTATGTAGAAAAAAATATGAATCCTAATGATAATAAAGCTTATACCTTCTTCTAAGTGCTATATCCAAATACTAAAAGTTATATATATTTAAGAATAATTCAACCTTAAATTTGTCCTTATATTGGGTCATAATAATTTATGTGTAATATGCATATCAATGCTTTCCGCATTGTTCCGCTTTTATGAACATAAGACTTTCCCTCACGCGTTTGACGTCACTGTCACGTGTTATAGGGATTAACTTTTCCCCTCGATATGTTATATATTTTTAAGCGATTATGTCATCAGCATTTAAACATATTCTATTGAGTCTTTACTTTCATAAATTACAATCAAAAGACGCCCATAAGCTACATCTCATTTATATCTATTGAAAATTGAAACATTTCAGATTTAAGACAAAATTATATTTATAAAAATTTGTTCTCAAAAGAATAGAAGAATTATAAAATTAATATTCAGTTCTATAAAAAAATATTGTAAAGATGAAAGAAATAATGTCAAACAGAATTTAATCATTTAAAAAAACATAAAAAAAACAACAAAAAAGAACAACAACAAAAAAAACAACTAAAACAACAATAAAACAACAACAAAACAACAATAATCCTACACTAAAAAGAAAACGAAACACAAAATATTTGATTCGCTTTATTTATATCTCTGCATTATTTAATTTGGTTGATTAAAGTTAAGAACACCTACTTCTTCCGCTCAATAACATGATATGTAATAATTTATGTCCTCACAATATTTTTAATTAAACATTTGGCCAACATGCAATGTTTAACTGTCACCTTTATGTCTGCTACAATTAATTTTTTGATACTTACAACATGTAAATTACTCACCACTGGTCGCATCTTAAAACGACGGTAATACGCTTTTAGCCTTCAACTGTTGTCTTTAAAAAAAAAATACAATATTACACCTGTAAATACAATATATAGTCAAATGAAACATGTCTTTTTTTTTAAATTAACAATTTTGCTTTTATTTTTTATCTATAAAAATATACAAAAGCTATACGAGACACCTCGAATATGGTAATTAAATGTTTTTTTTGTATTTTTTTTTTTGTTTTTTTTTTTAAACCAAACAAACAAAAAAACTATTATATGCTGTTTAATAAACTCGCTCGTGTCAATATTTATTCAATATTAAATTTTTTTTGCAATGTGTTTGTATTAATCAGATTAGTAGCTAGACTTCATTTAATCTTTGCCCATTTTTTTTTGAGGAGTCAATGGTACATATGACTAATAAATTGCAATGATAATGTGAATATTTGTAACGTTAAGACACTCGCGGCGTTCTATTACCTGCTGTATTTTTTTATATTTTATCAAAGAATATGTAGAATAATGAAGTTTTATGAAGACTTTTTATCACTTTTAACAACAATTAATGTACAGTGGTGTATAAACCGGTTGCTCCCACAATTCAACATTCAAGCTAGCAAATGCCACAATCCATTTTATGCATGCTAGACCTTTTGTCAATTCTTTGATACCAACAATAACATAACAGACTTTCAAGAAGACTTTATATAATTTTGAGCACTTCCAGTAGAAAAACAATAGCCTGGTGGGTATTATCTTGATATATGTTTTATAGTTACGCTGTGAGTAAGGATATCATATTAAGATAAACTAAAGAACTGTGAGTATTCTGTTTAATTTAACCATTGTTCTTACTGGTGCTTACAGAATCGAATTTTGTCTTGAAAAACTGTTTTTTTTTTTTATTAGTTGTAAGTGTGCTTCTACCACTTGACTTTTCACTAAATAGTTTCTGTTTCAATTTACCCCCCCCCCCCCCCCCCCCCCCAAGAAAAAAAGAGGGTAAACCATCCGTAATTTATTTGAAACAACAATAACATTTTCATAAACATTGATTAAAACAGCGTAATGAGAGGATTGTAACATGATTTTGGTAGATCTTGCTTTCGAAGATATTGCCCGTGTACAAATTAACACAATACTTAAATACGTCTATAACTAAATTGGACAACCCTGTATATTCCCCGTGTTCATAAAGGCTCTTTATAATATTATTCAATTGCGCATTAAATCAATATTTTTACGCATTCAAATTAAGAAGCAATTTATTCCAGATATGTTGAAGTTATTGTTTTCAATGGTAAAATTTGCTTATAGTTTCAAATACGTCCAACACTTTGTATTATTAAATTGAGCTGGAAAATTGGTCTCATTTAGGCACATTTTGCCTCAGAAGCAAATAAAATTAATTTCTTTCTTTTTTTTTAAAATGGCAAATTATGAAGTTTTTTAAAACGAATATTATATAAATAAATGGTTTAAGAACATTTTGAAACTGCTTGTA